TTCTTGGCACTGTTCTGATGCCCCAAATGAGGTAAGAGCAGTCACTTTTTAGGAATTTGATATTTTCGAGGATTGGAATTTTATCAATTCAGGACCCAAAAGATAGATTAATTATCAATTCAGGACCCGAAAGATGAAACATATCAGTATAGGACCCGAATGATGGAAAACTATCAATTTAGGACCTAACGTTTCATAGGTTTTGATTTATTTAATTTTTTATTAATTCCATTACTAATTTTTGATAAACTTTTCTTCACAAAAGTTTATTAGTTTAATAAAACGAAATAATATTTAAAAAATTTTAATAAAAAAAAATACGACAACTTAGGTCCTAGATTAATAGTTTTCAATCATTCAGGTCCTAAATTGATAGTTTGTCATCATTCGGGTCCTATATCGATGCATTTTATCTTTCAGGTCCCGAATTGTTAATTAATCTATCTTTCGGGTCCTGAATTGATAAAATTCTTCGAGGATTGCATTGTAGGCATGGATTCACATTGAATAATTGAACTTTAATTGCTAATTTTCCTTGGTGAGGCCGAGGTTAGAATGAGGTAATGTCTAGCGAAATGTCTGAAAATTGAAAAAATTAATTAATATTATCTAGACCTCTTACCTTGCGAAAAAGAGAATGGGAGCCTCGGTCAAAAAGCGTAAGTGTTCGCACAATAAGATGAGACTTGGGTATCTTTCGAAAGAAATGGCATTCTCGTGCCAACATGACAAGGAAAACTGAACTTAATTAATTGAACTTCAAGGCTATTGCAAAACTAGCATTAGTCCTTCGCGTACTTCAAGTATACGTCAAAGCACCAATGTGCAGCGATGGTTTAGCTTAGTTCTAAACCATGTCTACTCCTTGCATAGGTTTAAATGATAGTTCCTAATTAGTGTCTTGTTGAATTCCCTGATCCTAAGAATAGCCCTGAAATTCCTGAATGCATTGAGTCTTTGTCAGATTGTTCCACACTCTCAAAGAAAAAGGGACTATTTATTCTTTTCCATCCACCATTCACCACCACCTTCACAAGTCCTTCTGATGAGTAGCTAGTTTATTAGTGTGTGTTGCCATAACTTTGAGGATGTTGTGATTAATTTTGTCATTAATCTTAGCTAAAGTACAAAGATGTAGTTTAGGGAAGAATTTTGTTGGTTTAGTCTGTCTGTTCTGTGAATATCCCTTTAACTACATGTGCCTGCTAATTGTTTTGATTCCGTTTGGTGATTATCGTAAGTCTCGTTGTCCAGTTTGCTTGAGGACAAGCAAAAGCTTAAGTGTGGGGGAATCTGAAAAGTCCATATTTTGACAAGCATTTGATGCGTGTTGGAATCGGCTTTGATGGTTTTTCAAGCTTAAGGGTTCATAAGTCTCATTTTTAGCTCAAGTCATATTTTACCGGGTGTTGGTTCATGTTTTCTATTTTTGGAGTCAAAATTAGGAAATTTGAGCCCGGCACTGGCGCTTGAGAAGCAATCAAAACGAGTTGAGAAGAATTCAAAAAAGACTTGAGAGCTTTGGAGGTCACCGGGAGGTTCACGACGAAGATTTGAAGACAAAAGAGCTTTAGGAATTGGCTACGAGATCAAAAGAGCTTGAAAACGGCGTTCAGGATGACCTTCTGTCAATCATTCAAGCATATCTTTTTGTAGAAACATACAAAGGACACGATTCAAGTTCCATATGAAAGCAAACTTCAAGAGCTACAAATCATATGGAGACACCATTACGAGAATCTGAGAGGAGAAAGGTGAAACCAAATGATGAAATCAGATAATCGCTGTTGAGATTTCAGAATGCGACTTTCCACCATTTTATTCATATCTTGATTGGAGGATTCAAATCCAGTTTTGCAAGTTGTGTTGGATAGATGATTCATTATCTACAACTTTCATGTAGAAAGCATTGTTAAATTCGGAGAGGAAAAAACGCTGGAGCTACTGTCAGTCATGCACGTTATGCCTGCCCGGGAGGCACGTCGTGCCTGACCCTGGGACGCGCTTTTTACTCCGCAGGCACGGTCGTGCCTAACCCCGAAAGTTCTATTCCAGCTCAAATTTTATCTGTTTTTTTCCTATTTCAACAGCCTGTAAACCCCTATTTTAGAGAGGGGCTTAGAGAGAGGCCTTGGGACGAAATTTCTACTACTTTTCCATCTTGTTCTTCAATTCCCTTGGATTATTTGTAAGTTCCTAATTTTTAATTAATGACAATTAATTCTATTCATCGCAATTCTGTTGATTCTTCAATTATGAGTTTTGAGTAGTCTTAATTAGGGATTTGGGATTGATGAAGGGGTTAATTATGATGTATGTCTAAATTCATGATGGATTAATTGCATGATATGATTGTATTTAATTTGTGTTTGAATGATTAATTGATATCTTTTGTAACCTAGAACGACCGCTAGAATTACAATTGCTTGTAAAATAAATTAAGAGATGACTAGTTTATTCTAGGACACTTTCACACACAATTCATCGTTCGCTAAGAGATTAGTAATGATTAAGGGGACGTGCGCTCGCTCGTTTTGGCAATAATTTTAGGATCATGTCGCATGAGAGATCAGCCTGGTCCCCTAAATTATTCTACTCTACACCGCGAGAGTGGTAAGAACTTAGTAATGATTAGCGAGACTCAATTAAATTAATTTCATGTGATTAAGCATGATCAGCCAGAAATCTGATTGCCCCGGACTCAATTTTTGTTCCCTATCGTCATTAATTAGAAAGAACCCATTAGTTTAATTTCTTTATTAGCAATTTAATTTTCCCAATCAATCAAATCTCGCACAATTTATTTTATTTTATTTCGTTTCAATCGCTGAGTTTAATTAATACTTAATGCACTTTTGTCCGTCCGTGTGGAGACGATACTCATACTTACACCCTATACTGCTATATATTTTAAGTGCGAGAAGACTCACATCAGCACGAAAGTCATTTAACCCGCCAAATTCATACCCCAAATAGATGCTAATTATAGTAACTATAGAAAAAATTTCCCAAAAACATCTAAATTTGAAAGAGTCTCAATTGCAGAAGAATAAAATAGTCATCGGGTGTTACCGCCACATTCGGCTATCTTTTAACCGAATGCACAGGCTAAACCACGGTCCAAAAATAGTCCAAGTAATTAAGTGCTAATCTCAAAACAATTTAATTGTCTACATGCCTCAAACTTAAATAAATACTCTCTTTGTCCCTTATAACTTTGCCAACTTTCCTTTTCTGGTTGTCTCAAAAACTTTAACACTTTCCCTTTTAGTCATTCAATTTGTGGTTCTTGTGATTTCTCTCTTCTCTGCACAAATCTCTACCACACAGTTTTTACTTTATTATTCTACGTGCCGGTCAAACTTGGCAATCCTTTTATGGACGGAGGGAGTAATAACTAGGTGATTATAAATACTAAACTATGTGGTCTAACACAGCTCTCATCAACAAGCATAATCCTCATCACCTGCACCAAATAAAGTGCAGAAAACAAAACAAAGACAAAGAAACAAAATTAGCTTTGTAGCTAAGTAAGATTCAACCAACCCCGTAAAATAATATAACTTGTCAAAATAGTTTTTATATGTAATTATAGTTCAAAATTCAGTAACTTTTCAAAACACTTCATAGTTCAAATAACATTTATAAGCTCTTAAACAAATCACATCTCCCTTCGGAAATAAAATAGCACTTTCTAAAACATCAGTTTTCTAAATATCACTTCCCAAAATATAAACTTCCAAACATACAACAATCCAAAAATATAACCTTCCAAAAATATCTCTCATTTTTTTTTCAAAAATATCTTTTATAGCTGAAATTATTTAATCTTTAATTAAACCACATTTCCATATAAGACAAAAAAACCTTCTTTTCAAAACATTACCCAATAATAATCCACTAAAATAATTTTAATTGAAATAATATATTTGAACTTAAACAATTAAAATAATATATTCTCTAAAAACGTTCTTATTCGGAAACATATCTCCAGAATCATTTGTACTTACAAGTCTCAAAATTTATTTCAAGAGATGGGCAGAATTCAAGATTTCTCGAGCCTAATGAACATGTGGGTCACCGCAGCCCCCACGACTCACCTCGCAATTGCTGATCTCACGACTCTCAAAATCAATTACGTTCACAAGTCTTAAATTAGTTCTCAAAAGATGGGTAGAACTCAAGATTCCTCAAGCCTAGTGAGTACATAGATCACCGCAGTACCCATGACTCACCCCGGAACTCCGGATCTCACCGACCACCAAATTTTATATTCTCAAGTCTCAAAAAATTTTAAAAGATGGACAGAACTCAAGATTCCTCAAGCCTAGTGAGTACGTCAGTCACCGCAGCCCCCACGATTCACCCCGCAATTGCAGATCCGATCGGTCGCAATAATTGGAAGCTAGACATCTAACTTAAGTGTGCACACCTCTAAAAGGGATTCCAAGTCCTCCGAGTAGTAAGAAATCTAAGTAGTCAGGATATGTGTCTACTAACAACTCACAAATAGGATTTAATCCTCACAAAGCAAATTAGGAACTACTACTACAATCACAAAAGAAAACGGATGATTACAACCTAGTGTTCGGGATGTCTACCGAATCACTCACAAGTCTCAAACAATTCTCACAACAATTTCACACGAAATATATTTTGTCATACTTATTGTTTACTTAGCTTTATATTATTATATGCAGTAATAGTGATAGATTTACATCGTATTATATGCAAATGGCTTTTTTGTATTATTTTATCATTAGCTAAAACGCATCACATGCGTTTTTATCTCAAAAGTTCTATCTTGTAAGTTGTAACATGGTTACTGCATCATTGGCAGATAGTAAACTTTTTTTTACGCTAAAAGTGCTCTATTTTCGCTGAAAACGCTAAATCATAGAGATTAGATTAAGTATTTGTGACACTTTTTTTTTTTGTTTTTTTTAAAAGGCAGTTGATATAGTGCATTGTTCGGCCCAAAAATTGGCCCAGGCAGCAGAACCGTCCAAGGCGTGGTGCTGCGTCCGAACATAATAAAACAAGGGGGAATATTTGTTCTGTGGAACCCTACTATCGGTTAGGGTTTTTAGCGAGAGGGGGAGAGTTGAGGGGTCATGCGTCGGTTCGGTCGATGGTGTCATTCGCTCAGAGAGAGTGTCGATTCTCTAAAATCAACCGGCGTCCCTGAAGTAGAAGGTGCCATGGAGGTCTTGGTGATATGCTCTTTTCACCGGAGTGGGGAGGGAGCTGTGGTCAAAATGCTGGATGGTTTGCTTTGAGAGCCCTTCTTTTGCCAGTAGGTGTGCCACCTGGTTCGATTCTCTTGGCCTGAAGATGAGCTCAGTGTTGTTCGTCCGTCGAAGAATCCAGAGTTTGAAGAATTCGTCGGTCAGGTAAGTCGGTGCTCTACTGTGCCCATGAGTGACGTTGAATATTGTTAGCGAATCTGTCTGCATCACTATTTTGTTGTAACCCTGTTCTGAGAAAATTTGAAGCGAGGACAAAATTGCTTGGAGTTCCGCTCGGAGAGGACTGTTGCTGTGCAAGGGGAAAGCCGTAGCTCCGAAAAGCTCACCTCTGTTGTTTCTGAGGATAGCTCCTCCGGTGCTGCGGTTGTCAACGTGCGAAGCGTCAACGTTGAGGCATAGAGTGTCAGGCGAGGTATGGCCCCATTTCCAAACTCGAAGTTTATGTAAGCCTTTGTTGTGAGGAATCAGTCCGTCTACGAACAGTTCTGTGTCGAATCTGTAGAATTTTTTGTTGCAGTTATTGGTGCTCCAGTCGTATATGTGTTTCTTAATTGCTTTTGTTGTCTGTTTTGCGTTGAAAGGCTTGTTGTCCCAGATTTTGGAGGTGTATCCCTTCCATGTGTGCCATAGTATTATTCCTGGTATTAGGTTCCTCATGTTTCCTGTCATGCTTGATTGTTGTCCTCCTAGCCACCATTTAAACAAAGTTTGTCTAAGGCTGCTGTGTGAAATGTTACCTACCTGCAAAATGTTAGAAAAGAAAATCCAAATGGGCAGGATAATGGGGCAGGAGAAAAGGGTGTGGTTTTCAGTGTCTTAGGATTTTAGGCAGAAAGGACATTGGATGGCTTGTTGGATTTGGAGCCTGGAAAGGTTATCTGGGAAGGGTAGGATGTGGGAGTTGAGTTTCCATAGGAAAAGTTTGATATTGAGTTTGTGTCTTGACTGCCAAATCTGTTTATTGCTGAATGTTGTTGGTTTGGATGTTCTTATGTTGTTATATGCGCTTGTGAGAGTGAAGTGTTTGTTCGGGGTGGCTTTCCAGAGTAGAGTGTCATCATGTAGGGATGTAAGGGTTGTACCGAGGGGGTGGATGGCGCATATCTGCTTCCAAGAATGGGAGTCCTTTTGGGTTGTTTTCATCTCCCTTGTCCTGTCATAGCGTGCATGCATGTAGTCCGCCCATAGGGAGCATTCTGTTTTAAACATCCACCAGGTTTTCAGTTGGAAGGCGGTTTGTAAGTCAGAGAGGGATCTAATGTTGACCCCTCCTTCCTCCCCCGGGAGGCAAAGTTTTTTCCAACTGAGCCAGTGATGTTTATTGATTCCTTTTTTGTTTCCCCAAAAGAAGTTTCCCATCAGTTTGTGAATTGCATTGATGATTGATCTAGGAATTTTTGAAACTGCCAAATGGTGAAGCGGAATGGATCCAAGTACATGTTTGATTAGTATTAGTCTTCCTCCCTGGCTAAGAACTTTTGATTTCCAGGTGCTGAGTTTGGATTCAATTGCCTGCATAAGGGCTGCACAGTGTATTGGTCTGGTTATTCCTTGATGTAGAGTTGCCCCAAGGTATGTTACTGGTAGGTTCGTGGTGACCATTCCAGTTTGTTTTTCCACAATTCTTTTTCTGTGTGGATTCGGGAGTTTGCTGACTATAATCTTGCTCTTTGACAGGTTGATGGTCAGCCCCGGTTGCACTGGTGAATTTATCCAAGAAGGATTTCAGGTTTTTCATGGATGACGGAGAACCATTGAGGAAAATCATCACATTGTCCGCGAAAGCGAGATGTGTTGTTGTTAAAAACCCCCTCCCTATTTCAGATTGCTCATGATGAGCGTGGTAGTGGTCTCGTTGATGCCAATCTTAATTAAGGTTGCTCGTTGAAATTCCCAAGAGACCCGGTCAAACGCTTGGGCTAGGTCCAGTTTGACTGCCACATTGCTTCCTCTGGCCTTTTTGTCTAGGTGAAGAAGTATCTCGTTGGCCAACATGATGTGTGTGTGAATGTTTTCACCAGCCATAAATCCGATCTGTTCCGGAGATATTATTTTGCGCAATAGGGGTTTGAGTCTGTTCACCAAGATTTTGGTGCAGACCTTATGGGTGAGGTTAGCCAGACTAATCGGCCAAAACTGATCAAGGGTTTTGGGTGAGTCGCATTTAGGGATTAGGACGAGTAGGGAGCAATTTAGTGCCTTGGGCATCGGGGTTCCTGTGAAGAACTCTTGGATGGCCGGAGTAAAGTCAAGGTGAATAATGTCCCAACAGGACCTGAAGAAATGCCCATTGAAGCCATCCGGGCCTGGGCTGCTATTTGGGTCAATAGCCCAGACAGCATCTTTGATTTCCTGGGGGAGTGGAATTGCTGCTAGGGACTTGTTGTCTAAATCCGTAAACACTGTAGGGAGGAGGCTGATTAGGTTGTTTTGGGCGTCTGGATCCGTGGGTTGATTAGAGTAGAGGGACTTGAAGTGGGCTTCAATAGCTTCAACAATTTCCATAGGGTCCGTGATTGTGTTCCCCTTGTCGTCCTCAATCAGTAGTATTTTTTGGTGTTTCCTTTTAGCCCTTACGTAGTCATGGAAGAATTTGGTGTTTGCGTCCCCATCGTTCAATCATTTAATGCGTGCTCTTTGGGACCAAAAACGTTTTTCTTGGGTCAATTTGAGGGTGAGATGGGCTTGGGCCAGGGACCATTGTTCTCGGGTTGAAGGGTTAAGGTTTTTTTCGAACTCAGATTCAGCTCTTTGGGCCTCTAGCTCGGCCCGAGTTATTCCATTTGAGATGAGTCCAAAAGTCTCATTGTTCCAAGTACGAAGAGCCTTTTTTAGATTTTGAAGTTTGTGATACAAGGCTCTCATTCCTCCACCTCTGTACTGCTCTGAGCCCCAATTAATTTTGACCGTCTCTAGGAAGGTTGGGTGGGAAAGCCACATGTTTTGGAAACGGAAAGGTCAGAAGTGGGGGAGTGGTCAGAAGTGGTCCTAGCAGCATGGTCTTCATTGATATTTTCAAAAGATTTGAAAAAGCTGTCATTGGACAAAAATCTGTCCAGGCGGCGCCAGAGTCTGCCAGTTTGTCTAACACCGGTCCAGGTGAATTCACTCCCAGTGAATGGGATAGAATTTAGCTGGCAGTAATTAATGCAAGCAGTAAAATGTTAAATGTCATGAAGTTTAGGTGGAGTTTTAGCTGGCAGATAGTAAGCTTATGGAATTCTATCAATTCAGAACCTCAAAAACAGCTAAATTGTCCATTCAGAATCTGATGCGAAGCCACCAGAGTTCGAGCTTCTGGTCAGAAGCCACCAGAGTTCGAGCTTCTGGTCAGAAGCCACCAGAGTTCGAGCAACTCTGATCCGAAGCCACCAGAGTTCGAGCAACTCTGATCCTGGGAAAAAATTAAAACGTTTTGATTTATTTGTTTTTAATTAATTCTATTGCTAGTTTTGTATGAAACTTTTCTTCACAAATGTTTATTAGTTTAATAAAATAAATAATATTTAAAATTTAAAAAAAAATCTTGCCAATTTAGGACTTTGATTGATAGTTTTTAATCATTCAAGTTCGGCCTATATATAATCATTCAAGTTCGGCCTATAATTTTATAAGTTCATTTATCTTTTAAGCCATGGACTTATAAAATTCTTAATTTTATAGAAAAATGTATTTATAGGTGACCCGGTCCGCCTCAATTACGCTTGCACACTTAGGAGTTACAGTTAGGTTACTAAGACAGGTGAAGTAAACATGCAAGTTGCTTAAAACGCTGCTTACGAATCGAAAGAGGTGCTTAGAGTGTCGCTTACAAAGCATAACATCCTCTCATGTCTTACATTTACCACTTGCCCTTACCCTATTGCTACCCCACTACCTCACCCTACCCTACCTTACCCTGACCCAACCCCGACCCCCGACCCCACCTCGACCCCCAACCCCTCCCCGACCCCGACCCCAACCTTGAACCCCCGACCCCATCCTGACCCCGACCCCACCCCAACCCTTGACCCGACCATACCCCAACCCCACCTTACCCCTACCCTACACTCCACCACCTGCCCTACCCCACCCCACACTCACCCTACCCCTTTACCCCCTACCACCTTCCCCTACCTTGACTCGACCCCAACCCCGACCCCAACCCAACCCCTTTACCCCCTACCCTTACCTCGACTCACCCCTACACCCACCCCCATCCTACCCCCCTACACCCACTTGTACCCCTTACCTCGACCCTACCCTTTTACCCCTACCACTTGCCCCTACCTCAAACCCACCCCCGACCCTGACCCCACCCACTCCCATTACCATACCCGAAACCCAACCCCTTTACCCCATATCACCTGCCCCTACCTTGACCCAATTCCTACGAGTAGGGTGGGGGTTGGTATGGGTGGGAGTAGGGGTGGAGGGTAAGGTCGTGGTAAGGGTAAGGGTAGGGAAGGGGTGGGGGTCAAGGCTGAGCGGTCGGGGTACAGGGCGAGGTAGGGGTTAGGGATGTGGGTAAGCGACTAAAGCGTACGAGGTGACCCCACATATTATATTATATACTTGTGTTCATGAATGTTTCTGTGTGTATGTATCTATAGGGTTATTTTGGACATTTTATTGTTAAACATTGTTTTAAATCTTGCTTATTTTATGCGCCGCTTATTAACGCGAGTCTTAATAAGCACTGTATAGTAACCTGTGAAGTAAACGTGTCCTTAGCCATTTAATTTATCGGGTATTCCAGACATGCAAATATCAAGGGCTTACATCACAATCGTTACCGCTGACATCGCAGACTCAAATCCCTACACGCTTACATCATCAGTGACATGCAAATATCAAGGGCTGGTGTCATCTCACATCACCATGACATCGGTAGGCACGATTCCCAAGTATTCAAGGGACACGTGTGTGTTTGTCTCATTAGCTAGCTTGTTGGGTTTAAGGCCCAAGCCTTGTACTTTTGCCTATAAATAGTCACCTCCCCGTTTGGAAACAGAATCAGAATTTCATTGTACTATAATTTTGTCAAATTTAATTTATTATACAGCCTCCTTACAGTTGTTATATCGTGGGAGCAACCCATGGTGAGGATAATACTCCCATAGCTAAAACACGCGTGAACAGTAACATGTGTGAACAATAATTTTTTCTTTTCATTAGCAGGGTGATGTAATTCGCGTGATACCACGGGATACCACTATCTATCGTGTCTGACAGAGATCCAAGATTTACTTCTCAGTTCTGGTGTAGCTTACAAAAGGCACTTGGTACAAAACTAAATTTTAGCACAGCTTTTCATCCTCAACCAGATGGTCAATCTGAAAGAGTTATTCAAATTCTTGAAGATATGATGCGAGGATGTGCTATTGAATTCAAAGGAAGTTGGGAAAAATATCTACCTCTGATGGAGTTCGCTTACAACAATAGCTACCAAGCTACCATCCAGATGGCACCATATGAAGCTCTTTATGGTCGCAAGTGTAGAACTCCAGTGTGTTGGACAGAGCTAAGCGAGAGAAAAATCATTGGGCCTGATATGATTCAAGAAACAGAGGAAAAGATTAAATTGATTCAAGAACGACTCAAAACGGCATCTGATAGACAAAAGTCATATGCAGATCTCAAGCGTCGTGATATCGAGTATGATGTGGGAGAAAAAGTTTTCTTGAAAGTATCTCCTTGGAAAAAAGTACTTCGTTTCGGTAAAAAGGGTAAGTTAAGTCTGAGGTTTATTGGACCTTACGAAATAACTGAGTGTATTGGTCCAGTAGCTTATCGACTAGCATTACCACCCGAACTAAGTCAAATACATGATGTATTTCATGTGTCTATGATACGAATATACAAATCAGACCCTTCACATGTATTATCACCAGGAACCGTGGAGATTGATAAAATTTTGACATGTGAAGAAGAACCAGTGCAGATACTCGCTAGAGATGTAAAAATGTTAAGAAACAAAACGGTTCCTTTAGTCAAAGTCCTTTGGAGAAATCACACCACAGAGGAAGCAACATGGGAGACAGTGGAAGCTATGTTGACTCAGTATCCACATCTATTCCATAACATTGGTTAAGGTAATTTCGAGGACGAAATTCTTTTAAGGGGGAAAAAAATGTAACGCCCCAAAATCCGGTCTAATTGATAAGTAGATATGAATAAATTATTTATAAAGTAATAAATTTTCAATCAAAAATTGGGAATTTTCTTCTTAATTATTTCTTCTTAATTTTACTAAAAAGCCTTAAATTTATTTTATACTGTACATGAATGTGAGAGTTGTAGTTAAAAAAAATATAACATCTAAAGTGGCAAGTTAAATTAGGATGACAATACGTTAAAGACTATTAGGAATTTCTTCAATATTTAATAAACCTATTGGTGACTAACAATTTAAAGAACTTCCAAGAAGTAGTGATGTAGCAAGAATTCATCATCATAATGGGACACTTGGCTTCAATAGGACACTTTCAAGAATGACAAGGATCAAAATTTACCATATAAATAGGTAATTTCTTCCATTGAATTTTACATAATCAAGCTAACCAAATAAATATGATTCTAAGAGCTTGCAAAAAGAAAGTTGTCCGTATTGAGTATTATCTCCAGGGATTTTCAGATAAATTTTATCTATAAGATCAGTACGTTTCCGCCCCATTTTAGTTAATGAGTATTTTAATGTATAAATTCCGTCCCCGTTTCCTGTTATGTTATGGGGATGATGGACATCCTATAATGTTAGAATTATTATTTTTGTATATCTAAAATGTGTATTCTCAATATATATTCTGTAGGAATTATTGTTTAATGAAAATATATTTAAGTCATTATTTTTTCAGGCCAGTATTGACATGTTGTTGGTATAGACGAACACTTATGACAATTAATAAAGATAAATTCAAACAAAAAGAAAATAAAATGGACAGGAGTATAATACATTCATAACCTGCATGCATGCATTATTTCACTATTTCATATACGTACTCATATACTATTTATTAATTAAAAACTATTAAAAAAGTCAATATATGTGTATATATATATATATATGTATATATATATATATATGTATATATATATATATATATGTATATATATATATATATATATATATATATATATATATATATATATATATATATATATATATATATATATACACACACACACGTACACAGATATACGTACATACATATATATATTTCACATATGTACGTAAGTATTTATATAATATACTTATAACATGCATGCTCCAATTAGTAATTATGTAAGTAAGTATGAAATAAATATATATACCTAGAAAATGTATACGTGCTTGCTAGTTGATGTATATATTTTACTAAAATATACACGTAAGACATTTATGTGTCACTTATTTATACCAATAGTATCAATTGAGATATACTTAAGGAAATACTTAAGTAGTTATGCGGTATAACTATTAATAATTTATAAAGAATTGATCATATTCTGTTAAAGCTTACTATCTTACTTAGTTCTCTGGAGTACTTGTCAATGATTAAATAATAAATATTCTAGAAAAGCCTTACTCTTGATCTGGTACTTTGACAAGGACACTCCTGTTCTGTTTAGTGTACTACGTACACTCCCGAAATTCTGTTTTAGAGAAATTAGTGTTCTCCTGTTTAGTGTACTTCGTACACTCCTGAAAATTTTTTAGAACACTATTACTCTTCTGTTAAGGATCGGGTCTATTCGGTGATCTCGTCCTTTCTGTTCAGCTAGCTTCTGTTAGGGATTGGTACGTGTAGCTCCGGCGATTACGTTTCCATATCCTTCCTGGGTAATGTGGGTACAGATTTCGTGACTGTATTCCTTACCGTTAGTATTCTACTGTCTAGGTCCAATTTCTTGAGTTTAAGGCTAATTAAATGAATATGTCTGATTAATGATATATTTAACAAAAATGAATTATCTGATAATCGGATATCTAAACTTGTTTTGTTCTCTATATGAATATTCTGAAATACATGAAAGTTATCCAGTTCATTCAGGTATGTTTATTTGTTCTAATGATCACGTGCTAATTATGATATGTCATTATATGTTTCGATATGTTATATGTGTTATTACCGTACCACTCAGCACATTACTGAGTGGGTAGTTGTTTGTTTTTCCTACCCGTAGGTCAAGCACAGAATCAACTTGAAGCATCGGGATGGAAGGAGGCATAGGGCTCATATGCATATGGTGTGTTTTGTGGGATTCTGTTATGAAGTATGGAACGTATTTTGAAATAAACTTAAAATTTCCATTTTGATATTTTGTAAAAATCTTCCGCTGTAGTTATATGAATTTTGTGATATTTTAACAAAATTCCTGTTCATTTTGGATTAGTAATGACAATTATTTAAAAATAAAATTATGCTTAAAAATTGTTTAAATACGATATAATGTAATAAGTCTTTTAGAAAATCTGTTTCGATTTTCTGCTACGTGACAAACCGCTCGGGTGAGTGGGGTCGATCCAGGTGGGGTGTTACAACCTAAAGCAACGGCCTTGTTATATACAGCTGTAGCAAGAGAAATCACTTGCTTCTTTCCGGTGTGGGAAAAGGTCTAACGATAGATCCCTTTTTGAATACTCACTATATGATCCCTTTTTGAATACTCACTATATGATCCCTTTTTGAATCATAAACTAGCCTCTTTTTTATCATGAGTTGATGGCGGTTCTTTTTGCTAAATGATGGACGTTAGATATTAAGCTTTGGAAACTTTGGATGTATAGGGTATCCATACTTGGATATGCCTCCAATTTTGCTCATACGATGTACATAACTCTGGTTATTATCTATATATTTACATTTCCCAAAAATAAAAGGTCGATCGATTGCTGGAACACACCTACAATAAACTACGTATTATCATTAGTTTATTACCACAATACCATATTGTTAATATTTTAATTAAGTAGTACTTGAATAACTTGATACTCGTATTATATTTCGATTTGTATTTGTTGACATTATTATTTCATCATTGAACTAATTCACCGACTCTTGCTTTTGTATACATGTTAAGAGGCTATTTGGTAATTCCTATTTTCAACTTTATCAACGATTTTTTAATAATCACCTAATTTTTGACTTCACGCACTAAATTTTTTAATAATCAAAATAAGTAAGATTTGAATCAGTTTTCTAATTGAATTCACTTAAGTGATTGTAAAAGACAATTTTAGCCTCTTTGTGTTTTTCTTAATTTTATTAATAAAATATATTTTTAGTATAATTTGGCAGAAATTAGCTATTTCAGTTTGAACTTTATAAATTTTAGCAGATTCAGCTGATTCTACTACTTTTAGTGTTACCAAGCAAGTGCATATATAACATTATGTTTTTAAGAACTTTAGAAGCTTATTTTATTTTGAATATGTAAGAGTATGATGCTTTTACATGATTTTTTCCAATTGTACATTTATATATTTATGAAAGCTTCTACTAAAAGTAAAATAAACAGTTAAAAATCAAAATGCCTTTTCACGCCTTAATCCCGCCTAAACTCGTCCAGGCTTCAAAGGCTTAAGGCTTCGTCATACCGCCTGGCCTCGTCACGCCTTACGCCTTTTAGAACACTACTCGCGCATAAGAAAATGTAACTCGCGCATAAGAAAATGTAACTCGCACATAAGATGTAACTCGAGCATAAAAAGATGCAACTCATGAATAAAAAGATGTAACTCGCGCTTAAAAATATGTAAAGCGTCCATAAGAAAATGTAACTCGCGCAAAAGAAGATGTAAACTGCGCATAAAAAGATGTAACTCCATATGCTCTCAAATGTAACACCAGATAAAAATGTAATCTCATATTCTATCAAATCTAAATCGATATAAACAAATTTAATGACTTTAAAACAATAAAAACATATAAAAGAGATAGGAAATATACTATAGGGAAAGTGTATGAATATCAAAAAAATATTACAAAAAAGTGTATAAATATAAAAATATTACAGAAAAACAATTTGGTTGAAATTTCAGTTGAAGATTAAAAAAAGTAATAAAAAGGTGTATGATTATCAAATACAATATACTTATTTTATGTGGATTAATAAAATTTTGTAATGGATTGGTAAAGAAAAATGTAATCTCAATTGTAAATGAATTAGTTAAAGATAAAGATAAGAAAAATCACAATTTAATTTTTATATTTTGAAGGAGAGGATAATAGAATTGGAGAAAATAAATAAGAAGAAAGAAATGACAACCTGGAAGGCTGGAGGAAAAACAAAGAAAAATTCTGTGAAGCTTGCTCATTCTAGATTTGCTTCCACTTCTCTATGAATACTTCGTATTTGTTATCCCGGTTCCATAAGTCGTCATTTTTATTCATTTTAAGAAACATTTGTTTATCAAAAATGGACTAAACCTTCTGTTTTTTCTCTCCTATGGTCCTACCCACCCCTTTCAATACGTTTGGTCCAAAAGGTGGAATCTCCCACCCCAGGAGCTCCTCATATCCCGATCCGACAGGATTTTTGGGAGGATGTTAATCACGGTGACTCAATCGGCCTAATGATGGTAGACCTTTTTCCCGTGCGCACCAGAGGCTCAGCCTTATTTCAGGTTCTGTGACCTCCACACGGCCGCTGCGGGTTTCGAACATTGGTCACTTGGTCCAAATTTCCCACCACTGAACCAACTGAGCTACCCGTGCGGGTACCCCTTTCAATACGTTATCCCATCCAAAGATGTCATTTTTGGCGGACTCAAAAGGTTTTAAAGGTAGGAGTATTTAAACTAGAAAGATTATACTCCGTATAAAAATCTTATTTTTATATTATGACACGTGATATATTATGCTTTTAAAAGTTGGTTATACTTATTCAAACAGGTACTGGTAATATGTCCTAAGATGTGTCCAAATATGAACTTGGTCCAAAAGGTGGAATCTCCCACCCCAAGAGCCCCACATACCCCGACTCGACAGGATTTTTGGGAGAATGTTAATCACGGTGACTCAGTCAGCCCAATGATGGTAGGCCTTTTTCCGTGCGCACCAGAGGCTCAGCCTTATTTCAGATTCTGTGACCTTCACACGGCCGCTGCGGATTTTGAACCTTGGTCACTTGGTCCAAATTTCTCACCATTGAACCAACTGAGCTACCCGTGCGGGTTAAATGTGGGGTGGGGGATGCAACACGAGGACTTCCCAGAGGGTCACCCATCCTAGTATTACTCTCGCCCAAGCACGCTTAACTTCGGAGTTCTGATGGGATCCAGTGCATTAGTGCTGGTATGATCGCATCCGTCCAAATATGAACTTAGCGATACTGCAGAGGAGCCAAACTTTTTTGTTGAAAATAGTATTATTCTTTTAAATCAATTTTAACTATAAGAAAATTAATAAACATGACCGTTAGTAATGTTTATTGGGTTTTTTTATAAAATATTACTGAAATGAAACTTATTTACAAATATATGACTAATAGTTAGTGATGGATCACCAATCTAGGGGTAGCCGGAATCCGAATAAAGTATAGTGTTGATTATTTAGTTTTGTTGATGACTAATCTTGAGTCCAAAACAATGATAGAACTGAACAAGTTATTTGACTAACCATGCAGGTGGACCCCTTGGGTAGAACTACTACCGGTTCTATCAGGAACGAAGTTTGTTCTGTTTGATATAAATAATTGTCATGTTTGATACGTGATTTAATTGATATATGCCTGCCTGACAATACCTCATCTAAATTACTTTACACGTGGCACATCTCTCATGCATGACTAAGCATTTACTTTAATGACTTAACCTATATATGTGTCACTTAAATAAGTATCTTGCCACTTTAATGGTAATTAACCGTAACCTTTTATATATGCAAAGAGAACAAGTTATCTCTCCATAAAGGTCAACCGAAATCTCTTTTGGAAAGAATATTATTGTAGCATGACTTAATTGTTGGGTGTGTTTCGGAAAATAAAGAAAAATAATTAAAATAAATTAATTAAATAAAAT